TCCATAACTGTAAGTTCCTACTCGCAATGTCAAATACAAGAAGACAAAAATCCCTGCACAGATATCGTGCGCTTCGAAAATACGGTCGCTGCCAGGACGAGATATCTTTGTATCAAGTTCATGGAGAAAAATTATGAGGAGCCATCCTGAAATCGAATGCCCGGAGAAATTCCAAGGAGACGGTTGTCGGGAGCCACAGACATTTAGTAAGATAGGATAAAGTCATGAATGGATGTCACTTTAGCATATTTTGTATCGTGTCGCATTAATTTATTGAACCTAATGAAGCCGATGCTACCATAGATTAGATCTCCAGCATCGCAACTTGTAATCTTCGTATACTTCGAATGATCTTATCATCTCATACTTTTTTCATCTTACCTGCAAATTACTACATTTCTTCGGGGGAATATTCTTAACAACTGTCAGTGGTGTCCCCTACTAACCTCCAGCTCTCGCTGTAGAGTCTACAGAGCCGAGATTGAGTAACAAAGTCCTCACTTCGACGAGGATTCCCAATCGCTTTCTCCGTCTTTATCTTCTTCATCCCTAAACGCATCCCCCTATAACCACAATCATGAAGCTATCCACGATCAGATCAGATGATAGGGCCGAAATCCTTCTCGCCACATATCTTTGATGAAGGAGGAAAAGACATCCGATGAGTGTCCAGAGCGTACCCAGCACCCGATACGGAGATGGTGGATTGGATCAAGTCGACCTCGACTGTTGCAAAGAAGGGAGATGTAGATGAATATGCGCACCTCATGTGGTCCTGGTGTCTAGGCCTCGCCTGGCTGGGACTGCAGGTTTTTTGAGACTTTTTCCCGTGCACACAGTCTCCATCGCTACCATTTTGATTGTTTTGGGTAGAAGGTTCGGTGAAAAAGGAGGCCGAACTCCACGGGTAGATACTGAGCTGAATGGCTATTCATCGCGGGCAATATATCAATGATCTTTCAAGTAAAAAAACAGGCAAGAAGCACTGTACAAAGTGTGGCCTGGGCCAGAGAGGAGCCCAATATGCTTGATACTCTAAGAGTCAAATAGTTCAATAAAACATCACATCATATCTATGGAGTCCGAAGAGGAAGTTTGAGGGCATAGCGACCTCAATAACGCCTTTTTAGGCAACACTAACTAGTAGCAGGATGCCTGCTTCATATCTAGAGGTCTCAGTATAGATTAAAAAATTGTCACTTGGGAGATGTGCCGGACGAAGGAATGTGTGAAGAGCATATTGCCGGGGTCCGACATGGAGGAATTTTCTGATTTTCTGATTTTCTTGTTCTCGGTTTTTTACAATCTGCTGCAAATTTGGTAGCGATTCACGCGGTTGAATGAGTGGGTTGTGGAATAGAACATAGGGATCACTACCGGCCTCACCGATCCGGAACCCAAAGTAGGACGTGAGGCTTCCACCTTAGCTCGGGACTTCAAACGGCAATAACTGTTGAAATTGGCGCTACTTGGCAATGAGGAGTCGCAGTAACATGGAAGGCAATAAGGTTCTAGTATTACTGGCTACAATTATGGCGATTCATACATTGACCAGCCTCCCAATTATCCAGCATAAACAAGTAAATCTTGTCCTTCACTTAGATGTAGTAATTAGTTTAAATAGCGCTGTGATACTAGATGGGTTTAATCAACAACTCTCCACTATAGTTTTCAGACTCTTCAATCTTCCAAATCGCCTCACCAGGTGATATTAAATACAAGTCTAACAGCTTAAGCTTCTCTTCCCAGCTTTCGTTACCACAACGAAAAACACGAGGCATATTTTGAACGTTCACACTAGTTAACCTGATCCGGCCCGACCCTACACGTGCTTAAGCTCCAATAGGAGTGCAACGGTAGCCATGTAACTTAGCACGTTAATGAACAAAACAAAGGAGGGCAAGACTGAACACCTGTACGCGGTGTCCTCTACGAACCTGGGAGTGAAATATTCTCCCAGAGCCAAGTTCAGTCAAATTTCGCAATATCAAAGAAGTTGGCCCACGAGGCAAAAATTCAAATTACTACACCAAGTCAATCTTTCACTCCCAAAGAGTCCGATTCTCAACTAAGCTTCATCAAGTCAACAAGTACGACCTAGTACATCCTCGTTTCAATGACCACACCTCTCGTCGACTTTCTCTGGCCTCAGCCGGTCACCAAATACACGCCCACGCCGATATTTACACCCGACGGAGGAAGCAAAGCGTGGAGCACAATTTTGGGAGATAGCTCTTTGGGACGGACGTGAGAGGGATCAGGACAAGTTTACAAGATGATGCAGAAGAGGGATACATTCTCGACGGGCGTGGAATTTCGAATTTTGGAAAGAGTTTTACGAATTGAGCTTTGTGCGCGCCAAGACTTCGCTTGTGAGAGTACAGCTGAAACTATAAAAACAAGCCAATGATGGAAGGTGTTGTGATCCGCTTCCTGGTGGTGTTCTCTGGTATAGTTTGAGTAGCCTGGGCACCTACTCCACTTGGGAAAGAGACATCTCAGATTACATTTCGCGCGTAGAAAAGTTGATGGATGATGGAGGCATGTCTGGATAACTCAGGGTTTTTGAGACGTTCCCCTGGGTGGTTATTCACGGATGAGGGTTGACTTGGGGTGAAGAAAAAGCCGCCATAATTTCGCAGTGGTACTTGCAAATGAAATCCGAGGCATGAGTGCTCTTCCTTTACGTTGAATCATTAGTTCTGTACTCTTCTTTGATATTGTGTCATAGCTAGATAGCTGCATACGCAATTAAAATCTGATGCAAAAATAAAAATAAAATAAAAAGAACAAAACAAACCAAAACACACTAAACGCTCCGTGGTTTAGTTCCACAGTCACGTGTATCTGATATGACGTGACCTAAAGCATGTCCCATGGTAGGCTGCATGGATAACACAACAACACCCCACGTTAAATGATTATAAAACACAACAACACCCAACGAGGCGCCTTGAGGCTCAGGTGCTGCAGTTATGAGCTAGGCGAAAGTCTCACCGCGGAGTGATGAGGAGTGGATGATGTTACACTTTGTGGGTGGTAGTGAATAGACTTATACAATGCTATGGTGTAGGTGTATGAACAGAAACTATAAAAGTAAATCAACGTCCATTTATTGTGGCCCCATCTATGAAAATGTGTAAAAGCCCGCCTAACCTATATACTAGTGATATACGCAATGACCTAGCCTCCACAGCTTCGTCGTCTCGTCTCATAATATCAGAGCCAATCTGAAAACGTGGACCAGATTTTGCACATAGTACCACTACCTTAAAGCTTGCAAGGTAACTTTAGCAGTCCTTCGTAGTCTAAGACTCAGCAGAGACTTGACTTCGTTTCCATTCTACACCTCGGGGCTTGCTACCACTTTTGGGCAGCCTTTGCCCCTCGGAAATCGCCACGCGAACCCGCGCGACCCGGCCCGCTTACCAATGACCATTTGATAACGACTCGATAAGCCAGCAAATATGAAAACACAGCCGTGGCGTGAACTAGGATGGCTAGAGCCGGCAAAGACAAATTCTTCAGCTTCCAGTGGTGCCGGTGTAATCGCTCTGTATGCTCTGCATATCTAGGATAGCCAAGAAGAATCGCATTCGAATCGAAGACGAAAGCAACCTCAAACACATCTCCATTTGACAACTTCCCGACAATGCCTCTCTCATCATTGTCATCTGAGTCCTCAACCCATCTCTAACCACGCATCATCTCGCCTCAACGACTAATAAAGAAGTTGCTCCAATTGCATACAGGAGCTTGCCCCATTAATTTCCAGCCATCTCTCACTACAAATTTACGACTCTATTTATACCCGCAAGGAGGAAATCAAGTCGAAGAATACAAAGCCTGGGTCTTAGCTTATGGAGGACTGTTACTCCAATGGGACAAACAACTTGAGGGAGAACAGGCGCCTGAGATGTGGAGCGAGAGGGGGAATAGGTCTCTGAAGAACATGCTGGGACTGATATTTCCGACAAGTTTTCAACTTTGGATTTTTTGTGGCCGCCAAGACCGAGATTTCGGCTAATTAGCCGGGAGGACTTCTTCTGTCGATGAGTCAACGGCACTCCCCAGCGCCCTGGACGTCACGAAAGAAGTTGGGCTAAGCGACTATACAGCAATCACGCTCTGTCAAGACTTTTCTGACATTTCAGCACGACCTTCGGGAAGGAGTTGGAAGGAGGCTAGAAAGGCAGAGTATGAATTCTCCGAGGTACCCACAAGTCTGCAGCGCCCAGCTGGCCGGCCTCTTCGAACTCTTCGGAAGGGGCACTATGTCTTCGGATCTAGCCCTAATGTCGGTATTAGGAGAGCCCCGCACTCAGTGGATTTTTGGGATTTTTCCCGGCTGCCATACACCCGCAAAACGGCCATCGTTTCGTTGGCTGGAGAGGAGTGGTAATGAAGGGCAAAGGGCTCCTATAAGTGTATGATCGAATGAGGACTTGTGGGGGGTGGTACTGTTGGAGGGGAGCTGTATGGGAGGCATAGGAGGGGATATACTACTGGCATAGGTATCCTTGGCCTGTAGGTAGAGAAGACCTGCATGTCCTACATAGTCATCGACTCAGACAGGACAATAAAATGAAATAATAATAATAGGATGGCTAGAAAATTTGAGACTGCCCCCAACACCCCAGTCAAGGAGTTTTGGATAGCTCAGCATGAGGAGATTTGCCTTAAGACCGAAGCAATGCAATAGGACAGACAGTGTTAAGAGTTTGAACAATTAGGACTAACAAGCAGGCCACCTTATTGATACACACGTGACTACAAATCATGGACCCAATTTCACTTTGCAGTTACTTGAGTGAATGTGCTCTGCAACCTCATGACTACGAAATTATTGTTTAATGAACAGGCTGTTGAAGCATGTGAAGCTCTACATCCATTTTCTTCGTAGCTTCTAGCCGTAGGTGTTGGTATATGGATACATTTCCCCAATATGTCAATTTCGTTACAGACTTTTAGACTACTCCTAAATTTAACTTGGAGCTATATTATCGAGACTGTATTTCCCACGCCGCTGCATCTTGCTCGTCTTCTGTGTCCCATTCCAGCTGATCTTCTTCATCATTCAACGCTAGTCCTACAAACATCTGAATCCATCTCTGGCGTGCTTCGTCTTGTGCAGCTGGGTTCCGAACGGCTTGATTTGGGAATGGAGGAACATTTTGAAGTGGATCTACTCCACCCTGATTCGTACCAGTGTTATTTTGCACGTTGGAGTGAATATCTTGGCGTAGGCCTCGTCTACGTTGATTTTCGGGTCTACGATTCTGATGAGGAGGTTGTGGCTGCGCCGACTCTATATTTACAGTCAATGGTTGAGCAGGAACTGGAATGCGATTGATCCTCAATACAAGGGGGGCTTCCATTTCAACCTCAGTCTGCATCATGGGGCCAGGTGGCATAGTAACTTCAGGATTATTTTGGGCTACTTCAACTGCTGGATAGGCTATTTGTGCGCGCTCTGCTTCAAGCTGCGGCATATCCATCATGTTGTTTTCATGCAAATTTCTTCCGCCAATGAACTCAATACCTACGTCATCTCCGTCGCCCATCTCTAGCTCCCATAAACGCATATAGCAGCCCGTTGCCTCTGAATTGTAATGTTTATATGGATTTTCTGGTAATAGCCACGCGGAACATAGGTAGCAAAAATGTGTATTGCACTTGAAGCAAACCATATGATTACAGCCATGTGTTTTCTGTGATGGCGCTGCACACGTTGGGCATGGTGTTGTGTGTAGCTTGAGATATTCAAGAGAAGCCTTATCTTCTTCAGATAATTCTCCAGAGATAATCTTTGGCGTACATTTAATGAGCTCGCCGTGCCAGCCCTGCGAGCATCGACGACAAAAAGCAAACGCACAGTCTTCACATATGGCTAGCAGATCTCCAGAAGTGGAAGATATTGACGGTGCACTATCTTCAGAGATATAATCATCGTCACTTTCAAAGTCAGTCTCGTTCGGCTTCCGGTACTTTTTTGATATTGCAGCTCCCTGGCACCATTTTCTCGGACAGTATATTGTGCTTTTATCGGATTCTAGCCTTATTTTGTGCTTAAGCTTTACGTAACGACCTACTAAGTTTTTATCAATGGGAATCTGCAATAGTTCGCTGGGGCTAAGTGTTTTGAGCCTTTTCTGTTTCTGAGAAGCGAGGAGAAATCCCTTTTTTTTAAGAGCACAGTCTGGGGCAAGGCATTGAATAGACAAAACATCACCCATTTTGATGGCGTTCTGGTAAAAATCCTGCAGACATTTGATACAGAAAACGTCGCCGCAATCAATCATCTGATGACATTGACTTCCTTTAACTGCATCAAGACAAATATCGCAGAAGTGGGTTGCTCGCCCAAAAGTTTTCTGTATCTCCGTTATGTTAAAATCAAGAAGTGGTATCCGCATCTCCTCATGGACTTGTAATGTTTTGTCTTCTTGCGCATATCCAAAAGCGTTGTCAGCCAATTGCTGCAACGAATCAATGATATCATAGACGACGTTTACACCATGGTATTGCGACCAAATTTTTTGTGCGCTTTTTCTGAGATCATTTATTTCTATATTTGTGAGCCATTGTATGCTCATAGATAGCTTGACTTCTGGTGGCGCTTTTTCCGGATATTCTTCAGGTAAGATAATTTGAATTCGAAGTGATGGCAGATGTGAAAGTTTGAATTGTTCGACTGGAGCTGACACAGCTAGTGGCTTCTGCTCGTTAGAAATATCTGAGTTAATACCCCTGGAATCTTTTCTCCCGCATGAAGTGATGATAGTATTGATACTCTTGACTGGATGAACAGGCAAATCTAAAGTGAGACTGTAAGGATTCTCCGGATCTAATTGAATTTCTGGAAATATAGAAGCTACACATTCGAGTTCGACCAATCTTTCCTCCTCCATCTTAGTTATTATTACTTGCTATTCCTTACTAGACAGCAAATTTAGTCCATACGACATATGTGGCTACAGTGAGCATTTATTCCTTGCAGTAAAATTACTGATACGAATAATCACAATCAAGTAGGTGAAGGTGAAGTCGCGGGATTAATATTTCTTTTGTAAAGCTGTATTAAAATGTTGATTGTCCTGGTTGATGACTCGCCTAGGCACAAGGTGATATGGCCTTCAATGCAGGTGCTAGTTCGCTACGGTAGTACTTACATCTAACGTATTGCTACACCCAATATTACGATTCAAAACTACTCCCGTAGAATCAGTTAATGGCAGATGTGCAACCTCTAGCGTCACTGTCACTGACACACGTTCACTATGTAAATCCTCTTTCCACACCTTATTGGAGTTACTAATTTTGCTACAGGACCCCAATGACCCTATTTCGTATTTTTGTGCGTGGCTAGCCCTCGTCCCTCAAGGCCTCTGCGTCGTCTATGTTACTTTGATCTGGTCGACGCGCGAAATCGAAATATTCCTAATGTTTAGTGGCCAGATGGCTTGCGAAGCCCTTAATTTTGCCCTCAAACGGTTGTGGAAGGAAGAACGGCCACGTAGAATGCATGGGAAAGGATACGGCATGCCATCATCTCATGCTCAATTTGTGGCATTTTTCTCAATCAGCCTGTCCCTTTTCCTACTCTTAAGGCACGTACCCAAACCAGCGGCGCCTTCTCACGCACCATTGACCCTCGTTTCCCGAGTGGCGATTTCATTAATAGTCTTCTTAAATGCTAGTTTGGTTGCCTGGAGCAGGAGTTATCTAAGCTACCATACAACAAAGCAGATTTTTATAGGTTTCATTGCAGGATCGTTAAGTGCTGTTTTCTGGTTTGTTATCACGACAAGCATAAGAAAGAGTGGCCTGTTAGAGTGGGCCTTGGAACAATACCCTGCAAGACTACTGAGAATTCGTGATAACTTAGTCGAAGAAGATCTCTGCCAGGCTGGTTGGGAAAAATGGGAATACAAAAGAGCTATTTTGGACCCGAAAAAGAACCATTGAAAATTTTCATTCTTGTTACGTGAGATAGTCCTTGTTTCGTCCATACTATCAGTTTGTACATGCACCCTCAGAAAATATATTTAAATTACCCACCTAAGACCTTAGCCGAGTACGTCGTGCTACAATAGCGTTTACCAGTCTTCAAGACTTTTGCTACTTGATCACTCAGTACTTGAAAATTTGGGAGCCATATCTTCGTAAATGGACTTTGGCTTGAAGATCATTTTTAATTTGCTGTCTATGATTTTCACCGACTATTAAACGTTTATTAAAAAAGCCGAGGCTTGCGTTTACATTTAAGATTTATACTTCAAACGTACTAGACATTTATTTAGAATAACAAAATTATCGCAAATCATTACCCGATGCTTTCTCGCACGACTTGCTTGACTCTAAGGCTAAAGACCTTGAAGTTTAGAAATTGAAGCCATATTTAAAATTATTTTTCCGAAATGAATACCTGTTCTTCGATGTGATTTGATAATTCCGTAAAATTGCATTATCCCTTAAACTTTGCTATTCTCCAGCTCCATTTTACAACGAAAATGACGCAAATATACCCCAAACACCCCTGCTTTCGTTACCCGATAAATGTAAATATTTAAATATAGTAATCTATCCTAAAGGAGATATCAATTTTGGATATCTTTCACCATTATAACCATCCGATTTAAATGTCTGTGGTTTTAGATCCACAATTATTTCCTTCGCTAGACCTTTAGGTGCGAGAACTCTCTTCCCAGTATTCATGGGTTCAACTATTATAGCCTTTCCGAAATTGATAGGACATTCATTCCTCCATTTCAGATCAGATGATTTTGAACTGTCGAAAGTACTCTGCCGTAGTATGGACTGACGAAAGTAGGTATCGTAAAAATCACTTATAGATCCTTGTGATGTAGGCCTTGAGTTTCGTCTTTCATTGTTTGTGCTGCTTTCTGAAAAGTGATCAAAATTTAGAAGGGAAATATCTAACGTATTACTATTTCCTTTAGCGGGCAGTCTTTCCATAGTCGAGAGAGAGCTTGAGCTAGAATTACTGGAACGAGCAGAGAGATATGAGTAACTTAGGTCAGAGTCACACGAACTGTTAGGTTCTTCAGATTGTTGTAAATGTGACATGTCGCTTCTAGTTTCAGGATATCTCATCATGTGGGTTTTTTTGGGACTTAGAAGTGTACGTGTGCCTTTAACAGGCATGAAATAATCTGAAGGAGAAACAACGTCAGATGAAGTTGTATTTTGCTCATTATTTTTTGATGTTTCGAAATTTAGAGAACGTGCGGAATATACAGATGTTGTGTCGCTGTCGTTCTGATCTTCAATAGTAGATTGTTGGGGTGCTTGAATTGACGGTTGGAGAATAGATACCTGTCTCTTCGATACAATAGAGTCGCGAATTACAGCAGTTGGCGGAAGGCTGTTAAGCGTAAGAGAGAGATGTGGTGTAATACCTTTTTCCATCTTCGCACCGGACCGATTGTTATCATTCGACGAAAAATTTCGAGCAGGCGTTGGGCGTACTTTGGGGGACGGAAGGAATACAGAAAATGATTGGCTTCTCCTGGGGAACTCTTCCAGAGATTCTATAGAGTTATGAGCTGTTGGCCTTGCTTCGGCGAAGCTCTGAATTGTTGCAGATGCTGATTTTAATGCGGGTTCCGGTGGAGCGGGGACGACTAGCGCACCCCGGCCTGAGTGATTTATTCGTAAGGTTGGCGGGAGCGAATTTTGCTCTCCATTTGATTCAGTAGACTGGCCAAATTTCCCTGAGCATGAATGACTGCCCAGTGGGCTACCGAGCCCCGTCAAGTAAGGATTTTCGTTCTGAGATGTGGTGGATTGGATCGGGCTAGGCCTTGAACCTTTCCTCAGATGAGATTTTGTTCGTATTTCAGGGGGTTGTAGGAAGCTGGGAGAAAGTTTGATAGTATCTTCCCGCGGCGGAGCGAGTCCTAGAGAGCAGACGCTAGATGACCGACTTGTCGCTGGAGAATTAGGAGTTGATTGAGAAACCCCTCCGTAAAAACCGGCTTGTATTGCTCTCACTCCAAAGAGGTCTCCTTCATCAAGTTCTCTTTCGCCGACTAGCTTTTCTAAATCTGTTTGTTTGTTCGATGCTTCGATTTTGGCAAGCTCGACCTTTTTTCTTAAGCTATTATATGCTAAGTATTAAATGAGAGTTATTGATGTGGAAAACTTACTCTCGCTTTTTAAACCAGACTTTAATCAGTCCAGCTAGAAACGTGAGACAGACAAGACCGCTGAGGAATATGCTGTAATGTATTAGAATGTTTGAAAGGGTAATTTGCAATTCCTACATACGCATAGAGGCTGGAGGTTCCTAATCCAAATGTCTGCATGTTTGAATCAGATATTTAAAGGTAATATTAGGTGTTTGTTTCGTAGAGACAGTTAGTAGCGATTAACTACAAAATAACTCAGGAAGACCTCGTAGCAGGATAGCAAAAGGCGATGAATAAAAGGAAATATTAAGATTGAGATTGGTAATAGACTACAAAATATCTGATGTTGCGTCAAGATACTGTTGGATTTGGTGTGATTGATTTTAATGGAGTTGATGAGGCTTTTCCCTGCAGAGGACGACTGGACTTCATGAGATTGTAGTGAATACCAAGTGATAACTTTTGTTCCAAAAGAATGTGGAGAAGCGTTGGTCCAGTTGGATAGGTCGTAGTGCTGCAGGTTTTACGATAGTACTATTCGGGGTATTTACTGCTCTGTCCTATATCTTGAGTGACCGAGTTAGTCGTGTCTTGAGCGTAATTTGTAGGTTTGGAGATAGAAAGTATCGACCGGGCCGGCCAGGACTCTAGATCGTGGGTATCGGGCCGAATGAATGAGAGGTTGATTTTTTGATTAATGAATGATTATTCGATGAGGAAAGGCTATTCTTGAAAGAAAGTGATGTGTATGGAGCAGCACCGTAAAGAGGTGCATCGGTATATTGAGGGAGAGAATACTACATGGTACACATTGTGATTAGGGATGAAAGCTGTTAGACCAACGGATGTGCAATAATAAAAAAGAAAGCTTACCCGACACGGCCAGGGAGGAACCAGTCCTCAGGTCGCTAGGCGGAGCCCATGTTCTTTACCGGGATAAGGGTAAAGCTCTAGTGGCCTATGTAAATCGTACCAATCTCCGTCTCCTAACTGACATGGGGCGGGGGCTAGCTCTAGGACAAGGGAGGACAATGAATTTGCTGGGGGCTTGGGCATCCCCCTAAATTATCCAACTAGGAGCTCTAGACACTGTCAATCCAGGTCACAATTCCCAGGGAGTGCCATCTGCGTACAGCGCACCAAACACACTCGCGATACTAACATTCATGTATGATCAAGTGCTTACGAAATTGTGTTAAGTGTGATCTTTTTTTTTGAATAATAATTACAGCCCAAATACTTCTTCTGAGACGAGCGAGCGTGCACGCCGATCAGGTAATGAATAGGAGTCACGTTGGTCTGGGCTAATTTACTAGTCGGCCCGGCGCTTAGCTGGAAACTAGGGCATGGCAGACCCGGAGTTAGATAGGTAGGTCTGATTGCGTTTGAGCTTCGGAATGTAAGGGCTTCTCCTATCATGCCTTGCCGTACTCCTCTTGAGCCTGAAACTATTCATCACAGACTGCCTCTCAGAGCTCAGAGCAAAATTGTCCATTGTCCTGTAGCTCCAGAATTCCTTTATGTACGTCACGAGATCATAGAAGCTTCGGTAGACCGATTGGATCCATAATGACTAGTTATTAATAAATCTAGTTAATTTTCCCACAGCCCTGCAATCGATCCTAGTTTTTTGTTTAGCCAAAGTAAAATGTGACTCTGTGTGTCTAAGCGATAGTTAAAGTTTGGTAGATGGGTTTTGAGCAACATGACCGCCCGAAGCAACCGACGAAGATTCAGACGCACACAGCGGATGTTTCGGACACATCATTATGGATAATCCTCGTTCCTGTCTGACCCCGGTTTCAGTTTCTATCAGCTCGAATGCTCTACCAACACTGACCCCCATCAATCAATTCCCGTGCACACAATGTGGTTTCTTACACGAGAATGAGTGCTCCAGCATTAATCTTTGACATAACCAGATAATTTATCAGCTGATTACTCCGGATCCTATTTCATATTCAGGATGTAGCATGAGCGTTGACAGTGAAAACGTTGCAAGTAACCGAATCCTTCACGACTACAAATGGACCGAAGCAAAGCGTCATTGCATGTCACCACCGACCCAAATTATTTTGCAACCAGCGATATGCCTACTGTGTTTCATTGAGCCCAGTACATTAACTTACCATCAACTTTTCAGCAGAAGTCCTGATGAAAACGTTCGTTTTTCCTCGACAAGTCTCAACCACATATTTGTGTGCAGATCCAAGGACTAGACAAAATTTACAAGATTCGCCGCAACAATTGTTTCGGGTGTCTACATCCACAAGAGACTAATTCCTACTTATTTGGGCAATTTTGCTCGCGGTTATCTCGGAATTAAACTTAAAGGATTTCGTACGGTTTGCGATATCTTTTTTTAAGGTCCTCCAAATAAGAATCGTAGACCATCTGATTTCCAGAAAATGGAAAAACAATGTCATTACTCTCTAGTTCAAACGGTGCGATTAAGTTTGATCGCGTGACTAAAACAAATGCATCAAATCTGATAGGTGGTGGATGTTCAAGAGCGCTCAATTCCCTCACTATTCTCCCAGATTCTCGGTGGCTTTCAAGTAGTCCTGTAATACCTAGCTTATAGGAAGTTGCTATTGGTTCACGATTCAGCTGAGTATGTAAGTCATGGAATAGCTCGCTCAGGTGGGAAGCTATGTAGAAATTCGGAACACCTGAAATTTGGTAGTAAACCGATGGTGGCAAAGCCTTCTTCTTAACTGTGGAGTTGCGAAAAGCTTTTATTATAGGAGCATCAAAAGGCACAATTGTGGTAGTGGCGAGTGACATTAAATTGCTTGTAAGAATGCGTAAGGAAAATTCATTTTTGTATACGTGACTAATAAGTCGAATTCCCACGTCTCGCGGGTAGATCTGTTTAGGTGCGTACTTATTTCGAAGTGCGACGATAGGATCTATAGTTCCAGGAGCGAAGCGGGCAAACACTTCTAGTGTCGGCAATCGACTCAGTTTAGCCTTTATTTGGGTTGGCATGTCGGAAAAAGCCATAGGCAATTGATCAGATCGAGTAGCGAGTAGCAATAATTGGGATGAGTTTGCGATCACAGTCTCATCATTCTTAGAACATTTTGAGGTGGCGCTAGCCTAGCTTGGGCTGTATGGTCTAGCTAGCGTGAGGCAAAGAGCATATTATTCCCAGCAAGACCCCCATTATATTTGCCTAAACAAAGTACGTTCGGATTTTGACCATAGTAGGGCCCAGGCTAAGATGGATACACAGTGACAGCTGAGTGAGCGTGTGTTTATTGTAATACTTGAGTTTATGACTATCTAGCGCATTGGGCTCCTCTCTAGCCCAAACCACAACTCAGTGACAGCTATATATCCCTTTGATAACTGCAATTATTCGAGCTGAAACTGTGTGGAGGCTCTCCACTACAGCGCATCCAATTTGGGTCAGCTCATACTTAGCCTTCACACTTTTCCCAGAGAGATGTATGGCCGTGGTCTCTGGAGGAATTAGAGCAGATAGCTTATCGGCATTCACAATTCATCAAGTGCCGATTAAGGCTTATGCATGCGCGCATATTGTAGCGTCTAGAAATTTAACGACTTTCCACGGGAAGAATGGATGTTGTGCATACCTTCAGAGTGCTCACATGGCTCTAACAAAACTGAACGGCACGATTTTGGTAAATTCACCTATTTTCGAAAAAATCACGAAATTAAGATCCAAAAAACACCATGATCCGGTGTCTTAGAATCGATGGTTAGCTCCAACTAATTTTCCAGCTCATCTAATTATCATCTCCAAGATAGTGGCACGTACGTGCATACTGGATACTGAGGCAATTTAGTAACAATAGCACTAGCATTTCGCCATCATTGCCATGTACCCAGTACTTCGTTTGCTCATCGGAAAGGTAAGTAATGATAATAATTGTCATTTCTTGATATAGAGCATTCCTTAATATTACCCAGTCTATCCTAGTGGTGTATATACAGAGCTGTCATTCATGTTCGAAATAAACCCTCTTGATTCCAAAGCAGAACTCTAATCGGCGAATAAATCTTGGCGCCTGCACCCAACTTTCTTGGACAAGCCGTAGCCCGTGACATCTACCGCTTGTTCTTCTCGTCCTTTAAAACTACCTTGGTCTTATTCATTCCGCCGCTACCATCTCCGACTGGGCCACCTCACAAAGCAGGCGAAAAACACACATCAACATTATACAGGTTGGAAAGTGTCATTTTACCACATCCAAAAGACCCCTTGCATCTAATCGTGCCGTGGCTCACTTTTTCCAGGTTCCCGGAAATGGTCAGTGGCATTGAGACACGCTTAGGCCTCGCTACTTCATTCACTATCGATCAATTTTAACACCTTTAACGTAACCCTGGGTCAATCAAACGGAAAGCCTACCTTCCTCATTAACAAATCTCTCGCATGGCACGCAACTTAGTTGTGCAGGCATAGGGAAGCGTCTGTCAACCCATGTATCTAACCAACTCTCCATAATTTTGGTGCCGAGCGGGGACCGGGCTACGCAGCAAAGCGTTCCCACAACTGACAGCACCCCTGTCCGGCACACCAGTAAACTGTCGGGCTGAGTAGTCAAATTGTTCCGCTCGCCCCGCCGCCGCCCAAACGTCGCTTATGGACCCATAACTGTAAGCAGTTATGCCAGATGTAAAGAAGGTCCCTAACAAAGCCTTCCGGTATTAAGCGTTTCAATTTTGCTAAGAACTGTCCCTTCAGCTCATGACGTATCCAAGTCGCAGATCCCCGTCTCAAGTTTTGATCCCAACACATGACGCCAGAATCTAAGAAATCTCTTTCATCGATTCAAGTTTGAAAGGAGTACTTGAAATTCCGCCAACTGCCTGCATAGTGGTATCAAGCAGAAATCAAAGCGGAGACAGCGTTATTGTGACATGATAGCTACATCCATGAACCACAGAGTCGCCAGGCTAATGATTCAGAGTTCAAGCTTGTGGCTCAATTGTAGAATCTAAAAGGGTTATCCGAAAAAGGCAATGATTATTACATCATATCTCGCTAAAATACTGTTTAAGCAATACTCGAAGACGCTCTATGGCTTTGAATCCTGAGCCTGAGGAAAGCGTTGTCATACCGGCCGACACGACTTTCCCAACGGCTCGTTCGTAAGGAAAATCACAGCCTGCAATGTCTAATGCACATTGCTACTGATCCAGAGCTCTGACTCGCTTATCAGCCTTCCCAAAGTTGTATGAACCGCAGGACAAAAGTGGATCATAGTTAGTTGCAGGTCGTAGACTAAGGGAGCAGTATAAACTTGATTGTTACATGTAAATTCTCAACAGAAAAACATTTCAGGTAAAATAAGATATTTACTTAATTTCAAGCCGTACCGGTGCACCGTTCCAGACCCAAATCACGCGCCACCTTGCCTACTTTATATGACTTATCTGACATGCTCTGAAGTACCCAGAATATATAAAGAGACCGACTAGCTATCTAGAGCTCTATTTTCATAGTAAGGCCGGCGTCAAGAAAAATTTCCAGTTTCTAAGATGGATAAATTGACAATGAGATGAGAAGATACCACTAACTATGAAAAAAAGACAAGGCCAAGAGAGGTCTCGGCAAATGACTAGATGAGACTAACGATGAAAAAATAAGCCATGGATGAGAAGATGAGACGGGTAAGAGCTGGTAATGGATGGAAGGGAAAAAAGTAAAGATTGGGAAATGGCAGGGGCTTGGGTGCATAGTGTATGAGCCTAGGGAGGAGTTTGTGCGTATAAATCGAGTTTTTTTTCCGGCCAAATTTGGCATGATCCAACACAAACGTGAAGTCTGAAGTAGTTCGGACACTAATGTAAGATGAGGTCCTTGTATCTAATGGTACATATCCTGATCAAGACCGACCTCTCGTGCCCAAGCTCCTAAAGCATTGCGGAGGTTGCCCATTTTCTGGTACTTCAAAATTGATAGACGTTCGATATTCAAATAAACTGTTAAAGCGTAGCAAACCAACCTCAAACTTTGTCCCTCATAGTCAGAGTCAATAGGGACCTCAATTTAATTCTATTCTATTACCTCAACCTTTAGCTTATGTATGGTTTTGTTACAACAGTGTTGTGTAATCTGCATGAAACATGAAGGCATGATAATCATCAATTGAATTTACGGGCCTGTAGTATATTGATAGTTAGTTCATCAAATGTGTTAGTGCCGCTCGTCGTGTTAATTTAAAACTAACACACCCGCAATTAACATAGAATGACAAGAACCAATTCATGTCGACGAAACTTTGTACATTCGTAAACATATGTATGTTGACAACCAACATGTTTAGAATTAGAGTCCAATTACTCAAGCAGAGAGCTTAATCATTAGAAGGAAACAGTTTAGGGTGAAAAAAGATAGCTTCTAAAGGGATTTAAATTCAAAGTTGGGTATCACTGCTGCCTTTTCTTAGTCTAAGACTAGATAGACTAGGCATACCTACACTAATAGTATATCCCTTTGTTTGTCATCTACACATCTCCTATCACAAAATTCCACCACTCCGAAATCTTCATTCGATCACATACTTAAAGAAAACCTTTGCCTTTCGTTATATCACCTCTCCAGCCGGCGACACAAAGATAATTTATGCGTGCATGGCAGCCGGAAAAATTTAAAAAAACACTGTGTGTGGGGCTCTCTTTATACTAAGATCAGGACTAAATCCTAAAACAAAGCTTTTCTTCTGAAGCGTCTGAAGAGTCCGGCAATCTGGGCGTCGTAGACTTGTCCGTATCATAACAAACCCCCTTTCAGCCTTTTTAGCTTCCTCCCAGCTCTCTACCTAGGGTCGTACTGAAATTTCCGAAAGATTTTGACAGAGTGTATATGCTATTAGATAGCTTGGCCCAACTTCTTTATCCCGTTTGGGAAACTGAAGAGTGCTGACGATTCATCCACAATGGAATTCCTCCTGGATAATTACCCCATACTATTTCCTCAGCGTCCGCAAACACCTCAGGATCAAAGAGCCTCTTAAATAGTCGATCCCATGTCGCCTATCGATAACCCCTTCTCTCCCTCGTTTAAAGTCCCAGCTGCCAGTACTCTTCCAAGTTATAGAGCTCTATCAAAACAATTGGCCCCCATGAGCCCTGACTCGAGCTTCATAGATCACTACTTGAATCCCCTGTGGGTATACGTAGCGTCGCGATTTGGCACAGGAAGAGGGCCGCTAGTTAAGGAATTAAGCTTCTGTTGAAATTGAAACAGCCCCTTGATCAGTTGTTGAGGCGAGAAAGTGTGCGGAGAGAATAGGTTTGAGGGCTCACGAGGGAACGATAGTAACGGCACTGATGAGAAGTTACCGATGTTAGGCACGCGTATGTTTGCTCTTGACGTTGATTCGGATGCGGTTTCTCATGGCTATCCTAGACATGTAGAGTATACTAAACGATTATACTGGCACCACTAGAAGGCGAAGAACTTGTCTTTACCAGCAAAATTGGAAACCAGAGTCTCGGTTTCCTCGTCGATAAAACTACTTGCACCTAATCAGCCACAATATTTGTTGGAATGATGGGAATCAAATAACCACGTGAATTTATATAAGGAGTTTACGCGATGTCTAGAATGGTCTGTTTTAGTTGATAGTTGTAGAGGTGTAAGATTCACCAATACAACTGCAGAAAAGTGGAGGGCAAGTCTGAACACCTGCACGCGGTGTCCTCCGCGAACCTGGAAGTGAAATACTCTTCCAGAGCCAAGTTCAGTCAAATTTCGCAATATCAAAGAAGTTGGCCCACGAGGCAAAAATTCAAATTACTACACCAAGTCAATCTTTCACTCCCAAAGAGTCCGATTCTCAACTAAGCTTCATCAAGTCAACAAGTACGACCTAGTACATCCTCATTCCAATGATTATACCTCACATCGAATTTCTCTGGCCTCAGTTGACCACCAAATACACGCCCACGCCGATATTTATACCCGATGGAGGACGCATAGCGTGGGGCCCAAATCTGGGAGACAGTTCTTTGGGATTGACGTGAGAGGGACCAGGACAAGTTTACAAGATGATTCAAAGGAGGCATGTAACTTGGACGGGCTTAAATCTTGAAATTTTGGCGTGAGTTTTACGAATGGGGCTTTGTGCGCGCCTAGACTTCGCCTGCGAGAGTGCAGCTGACACAAAACAAGCCAACGATGGAAGGTGCCGTAGTTCGCCTCCTGGTGGTGTTCTCTGGTATAGTCTGAATAGCCTAGGCACCTACTCCACTTGGGAAGGAGACATCTCAGATCACATTTCTCGCAGAGAAAATTCAGTGGAGACACGTTTGGATAACTCAGGGTTTCCAGACGTTTCTCTGGTTAGGTATTCACAGACAAGGGTTGACTTGGGGTGAAGGAAAAGCCGCCATAACTTTGCTGTGGTACTCGAAAATGAAAAACGAGGTATAAGCGCTCTAGTTTTAAGGTGATTCATCTGTTCTGTACTTTTTCTCTGATGCTAAGTCATAACTAGCCACCTGCATATGCCATTCAAATTTGATGCAAGTAAATGAGTGTCGCAGGCGGATTGACGGATGAACACACTCTAGCTAGGCCATGTCATGTTTTGGCTTTACCGACTTACCGGTAGATAACGGAAGTTTGTCGGTGGGACCTATGATAGGTGTTGAATCTTTCCCCCCTGGCTAGTTTGAGCCCGACTCTAATTACGCCATGGTACATGCTATCCTGGTTATACGTCATCTCCAGGATCAAACCACAGAACCTTTTGTCTTTCACATCCGGAGCCTTCACTTGTCTTCCACAATTTATGGAGATGCATTACAGCAAATCCAAAACGCTCTAATGGGCAAAAGATAAGGTTGAACAGAAATTACCGCAATCTTGGCTGGGGTATGATCAAGAAATCAAGGATGTTCGACATCTGCTACAAGCCATCGAAGTGTGTACCAAACCTCATCCCATAATTACATGACTCATACTTTTGAGCCAAATTGTATTCAGCTCAAATATTTCAAAGGATTCTGGGATACAAATTGATAATTCAGTCCGATAATCAAAATCTCTAACTCCTTTTGTGTGTGATGCACTAGAAACGGCTTCAAGTACTTCCAAGATTCGTTCAATAAAAAATCACTCAAGGAGTTGTGGTGGACACCCTAAAGCTGGCAGACATACAAAAACGCAAAGTTTGTCCGGAATTTCAGTCATGTAATACTCCAAGCTAACTACATTGTTAGATCCCTCGACGTCATTTACTCATTGGAAGCTGCAGAGAAATCAAAGATCAGTAAATAAACTCGTTCGCCAGCTTTCCCATTCCCAGCGGAAACTCACTGAGGAAGGGATTGGTTTGAGCTGGTTCATTGCATTGGACACACTATAAATGTAGCTGACATGGTATGTAGATCTAGCTTGGCGAAAATAAGGAGACGTAGGATTGTCAAACTTTACAATTTTTCAAGATGAACATCTGGGAACCGAATTCAAGATTCTCATTTTCGGCTGCTTATTTTTACATTGCTCTTTTCGTTTGGGCCCTTGACTCGCCAATAATACATAGGAACACCAGCCAAGAGAAATACCAAAACAATTAAAGTCTGGAAAGGCTCTGCGAAAATCGCACGGCTCAACAAAAATAAACTCACACAGCAGAATATTATTGGGGTTGTTATCCATGTTTTGTACGGTCTTTCTAAATGAGGTTCCCTGACACGCAATATTATGAGACCAAGGACCGTAAGGAAGTAAAAAGAGTACCCCGCAACTCCATAGAATGTAACCAGGGTAGAGAACTCGCCAATTATGATATAAAATATGGTAAAACCTGCATTGAGCATCATGGCTTTAATGGGTGTGAAGAAGAGGCCTTTTTCTTCATCCCCCACCAGCTTTGCTAATAGTTGAGAAGCCCGATTTCTTTTATCAGAGTGTAAACTGTCATTTTTTTTCGTTCCGATACCAATTTCCCCAAAAATTGGAGGAAGATACCCTTCCTTTGCAGCTGCACAAATTAAGCGACCAGAGGTAAATACGCTGGCATTGAGGGCTCCGAAGCACGATGCCGATATGACAAGAGCGAGTATGATAGACCCAACAGGCCCAAAAACCAGGCCACCAAACGTGACAGCAATTGTGTTGGATGATTTTAGAGTTTCCCATGGAAGGACAAGAAAATAGGCCATGTTGACGAGGATATAGGACGTAATAATTAATGGCATAGCTGTGTGAATAACTCTGGGTAAATCTCGGCTGGGGTTTCGAAATTCCCCTACAACATAGCTAGTCTAACTTGTGTCAGCTTTGCCAGATATTCCAAGTTGTAGACTCACTGTATCCCAGCCATCAAAGGCCCAGAGTCCGGCATACAAAGCTACTGCCCATTGGCTGGCGCTTGTACTTGTTCCATCAAACCATCCAGTGCTTCCTGATCCCGACACCGAAGTAGTGCCGTTAGAATTAGAGAGTCTCATGACCGCTACCGCGACTCCTGTCATTGTTATTCCAGAGATCGCAATGAGTTTAAAAACCGTGAATATATCGCTAGTTCGAGTTCCAAGTTTCGTAGATACACAATTCAACATGGTGACAACCACCATTGCAATAAGGGCAACGCTTTTGTTGACCCATATACTAATAATCTCTGCATCAGAACCTATCAAAGCTCGCACTAGATATTCTCCCATTATGATAGATATAATGGCTGTTGAGCCTGGCTTCAATACCATGACAGCACACCACGTAAATAGAAATCCAGCTAGTTCTCCGAAAATTTTAGTAAGATAAATCTGAGATCCGCCGTTGAGTGGTATGGCACCTCCTAACTCAGCATAACTTGAGGCTCCTGTCCATGCCAATAATCCTGCTACCAACCATAAGACGAGTGAAGCCCCGATAGATCCAGAGTTGACGATAATTTGGCTCGGAGAGGAAAAGACACCAGATCCTATTACACATCCTACTATTAATGATAATCCGTTAAGGTACGTCAAATTTTTATGCTTCTCAAGTGAGTCTGCTTGTAAGTTGATGGGGCCACTAGAAGAGAGTGGTGCACCAATTGGTGCGTAGCCATTGCTTGTCGTTGAAGATAGAGGGAATAGATTTGAGCTGAAGTTAAACGCCGAGGAGAGCGAGAATGATCGGCCATGTACGTCTTTCGATTTATTGCCAGCGTGATACGAGTTTTCAGGGAGGTCTTTGTCATGAGTAAGTCTTGAAGAGGTTGACAGCTTGGAACGTATGGAAGCTGAAGAAGAAGTTCTTTGATCTGTGTCACTCGAAGCTAAACTGGCCAACTCAAGGGAATCCCGCGCCTGTACTTGGTCATAAGGTAATGATAGCCGCGACATTATAATTTTGAACCCTCTTCGCAAAAGCCCGCATTGAGGGCCAGATATATATTAATTTTGAGTCCTTGGGCAATAGCGGTTCTGGATCAATTCATTTTGGGATGAGGAGGTATCGTTCATAATTCACCCGAGTCAGATAGCTGAGAAGCATGTTTGATTAGCGGTCCTAGGCTCAGCGAAGAGCTTTGACCATGTCACGCTTAAGTTGTATGATAAATTGACCATTAAATTCTGTCTGCTCATATAGCCTCGACATGATTAAACTGATGCATAGCGTAATACGCAGATGTGCAACGCGGTTGCTGGCCTCTAATGCAAGTCTTCAATGTCGATGTTTCGGTCAGAAATCCCAAACAGCATTTAATGAGCAGTTCCAGCCAGAACTGAATCTAGTTGAGTTGGATAACAAGTGGCAACAAATATGGCGTGCACGACAACTCAAGAAAAATACACAAAATCTCAAATCATGTCCCAGTCCGGGTGTGAAGATAACTCTTCAAAAAAAATACATCCTACCCATGTTTCCTTACCCCTCAGGAGACCTACATCTCGGTCACTTACGGGTTTATACCATCTCGGACGTTTTGGCACGATTTTATAGAATGAATGGGTATAATGTTATACACCCTATCGGATGGGATGCCTTTGGTCTACCAGCAGAAAATGCTGCCATTGAAAGGGGGATCGACCCGAAGAATTGGACAAAGCGCAATATTGATAGAATGCGAGCTCAAATAATCGGTATGAACGGCCAGTGGGATTGGAATCGAGTGCGTATTTCAAATTTTTAATGCAGGACTTCCTTGATGTATCATTAATGTAACCTAGGAGCTTGCGACTTGTGACCCTAGCTTCTATAAACATACTCAGAAGCTCTTTACACTTTTGTTCAAGGCCGGTCTTGCGTACCGCGCGGAATCTTCAGTCAATTATGACCCAGTAGATCAGACTGTCCTTGCAAATGAACAAGTGGATTCTAATGGGTGCTCATGGAGATCGGGAGCGAAGGTTGAAAAACGAAGGCTAAACCAATGGTTCTTAAAAATATCTGATTATCGGCAGCAATTACTAGATGACCTCGAGCAGCTTAAAATTGATAAATCTTGGCCTGAGAACATATTGGCAATGCAGAAAAACTGGCTGGGGAAGTCCGAAGGTGCTCGGATCAAATTTTCTGTCATTGCCAATGATTTGGACGCTGGAACAGATGTTGAGGTATTCACTACTCGGCCTGATACTTTACCCCAAGTTCGATATTTAGCTCTAGCAACAACCCACCCCCTTGTACTTCAGCTTGCAGCGGTCGACAGTGAACTTCAGGCTTTCTTAGATGCTGTTCCAGCTATGTCATCTGATACAAAAGTTGGATATATTTTATCTGGAGTCAAGGCTTTGAATCCTCTTGCGCAAGAACAGTCGTTTCTAGAAGCCACAAGGATCCCTCTTCCTATTTACGTTGCCCCTTATGTTCTAGGTGATTATGGTGATGGAGCAATAATGGGCGTACCTGGCCACGACAGCCGAGATCATGAATTTTGGAGCACAAACTGCCCTGAAGATCCAGTTAATTATGTTATTTCGAAATCAATCGATGAATCTACAATCGGTTTATCATTAAACACTCATAGCTCCGATGGTCATGTCACTGATCAAAATAGACCCCACACTAATCTAACATTGTCGGAAGCTACTACAAAGGTTTTAGATATTCTAAATGATAGTGGCAGAGGGTTCAAAGCTGAAACATGGAAAATCAGGGACTGGCTAGTAAGTCGGCAAAGATATTGGGGAACCCCTATTCCTATTGTACACTGCGATAGTTGTGGATCGGTCCCAGTACCTGACGACGAACTCCCAGTTAAACTCCCTGAATCAGCTGGATATTGGGATGGTGTTAAGCCTGGAAATCCTCTTGAGAAAGCTGATGATTGGATCAACACAAAATGCCCTAAATGTGGGAGTATGGCCAAAAGAGATACAGATACAATGGATACATTTGTTGACTCAAGCTGGTATTTTATGAGATACTTAGATCCTCATAACAATGACGAAATGTTCACACCTGAGTTAGCCAACGAGAATCTCCCTGTCGATGTTTATGTTGGTGGAGTTGAACACGCTATTTTACATTTGTTGTACGCAAGGTTCATTTCAAAATTTATTAGCAACACTTATTTGTGGCCATCCGGGTCTAAGAGGTCTGGCGAGCCTTTCAGCGTTATATTGGCGCAAGGAATGGTACATGGAAAAACATATGCCGATCCGAACAATGGAAAATTTTTAAAGCCATTTGAAATTAATCTTGAAGATCCCGAAAATCCTATCGTGATTTCAACTGGCAAAACGGCTATTTGCAGCTTTCAAAAAATGTCTAAATCAAAATATAATGGTGTCGATCCAAGTATTTGTCGAGATAAGTATGGCGCAGATGCTATGCGGGCACACATATTATTTCAGGCCCCGGTGACTGAAGTCCTAGAGTGGGACGAAAAAAAGATTTCAGGCATTAATAGATGGCTCCGAAGACTATATAATTTTATCTATAAATCTCGTGGATATTTAATAAAGGCTCGCTCTCATGAATTTTTAGACGGCATCTGTCCTCGAGATATATTTGAAGGAAAAAACCAGCAGTCAAAGAATGTTAAGATAAATGAAGGAAGCACAAATGTAGTAGCTACCGTAGCCATCGAACTTGAAAATATGGGGCATCAATCTGAGCAGCTTAGAAAGCTCTGGAGAACAGTACAGTTCACAATATCAAAAGTTACGACCTCTCTTAGCAAAACACACTCACTTAACACAGTTATATCCGATTTAATGGTACTTACAAACACTATCATTGAACAACCCGTCGAAAGTAATAGACCTGGAGAGCCTGATGGCTTACCATCATCTATTCATTCAATTATTATATATTGGTCGCTTGAAAGTCTTCTTAAAATGATGGCACCTATAACACCTGCATTTGCTGAAGAATGTTGGGCTATGCTCCGGTTAAAAAGTACTGCGTCACAAGCAATAAATAATTTAACAGGTATTCCTGATGAAGATATCAGCAAATCAATATTCTCCGAGCCATTTCCCATATTAGATGGCACAATGCAAAAACTTGGACTTAATACGCAACCTTGTGCAGTGCAGATTAATGGCCGCCTTCGAGCCGTAATCCAGATTCCAATTTGTCCAGAAGGTCTAACTTCGGATGAAATGAAAGAATGGATTACCAATAAGATTCTAGCTGCAGATGAGAGCCAGAGAAACTCAAAAGAAGCAAGCTCCCACCCTCATTTTAAGTGCAACAGCAAGGCGAACAAGCTTCCATTAGATCTCAACATTCAACATGCCAAAAAAGTCTTTGTCGTAAAAAAGGGCAGGATGATCAATTATGTAATATGAAAATCATTCCCTAAACAAAATTATTTTTCTAATGATAAAATGTCTCCAAGAATACGGATTTAAATAGTTATCCCAACATTCAATTAAGCCAATGATATCTTCAGTTATAATGTTACAGAGCGCATTATTCTGAGCATCCTTTGAGATAAAATAAAGCAAATAATTTCTAGTCAAATACGTGTCAGAGACGTAGCCTGTATATTAGTTCCAATGGGTCAAGCTTTCTGATGCTGGTATGACTGGTGTCGTACGGTGGTAAAATTTCGTTGAGGAATGGATAAACGTACGGTATCAAAATTGAATAAATTTCTACGTTTCTTTATATCTAACACAGGGCATGACCCTCAACATCTATTGGAAAACATTAAATAAACTCATTTTAACATTGAAATATTAGCCAGAATCTAGTTGGTAGATTCTAGAAGTCCTTCACAGTCTCAGTCTCAGAAGGAACTATAAATGGTTCTTATCTTTATATCTATTGGTTTTAATCACGAGAAGAGGAAGTAACTGGAAGGCAGCTCCAATGTATAGATGAAAGAGGTAGATTGGCTATTAGGAGTGAGTATCTAGAGGTAGACAGGGACTATATGCTAACGTGCACGTACCACATGTACTCACGCTATTGTACCTAGGGCCAGGTTGAGGCGAGGTCGTAACTATCCCACTTCTTTCATAGCATCGTCCTTGATGCCTCATATACTTAATCTCTTGTGATACATCCTAAACAAGAGAGTGTGCCCCATTTTTATCTTTACTTCCCCCCCTTCGTCTTATTCCAATTTTCCACTAGCTTTATTTCTTCCCGTCCAAGAATCTTGATCAATTGCCTTCTTGTCATCCATCGTGTCGTTGTAGGCCTTATTGGGTTACACACGGAACACTGTAGCTCTTTGTAACCATAAGGACGGTCAGCAAGGATTGCGTAAGTTGATTCGCGGGTAAATTGGACTTTTGGGCGACCTCGACGCTGCGTATAATCCTCTTTTTCTGGTATACCTAAATCTTCCCAAACACGCTCATGTTCAGGTATGTAGTCGGTGGGTCGTGATGAGTTCGGGTTTAAGGTGTGGAAGTCATCGATGATCTTGTCGTCTGAGTGCGCGAAACCAACGAATGTTTTTGGCACCCATATTATATGTCCTGTTTCTGCAAACTCCACTCGGTAGTGTGCTTGGCGTTCCCCTTGAGTAGTCCGACAAGCAAGGATATTATAAGGGGTTACACTGTTTTTGATTGGGGACATAACTTTTTCGCGCCAAACGCTAGGTTGATCTCTAGTTACTTGGCCTTGAGCCACATCTGCAACGTGATATCTTTCGAGATTTAATACGTGGTATACTGGATGCGAGATATTGAAGCTTGGGGGTATATCTAGGCGGTAGGTGAGAGGACCATCGATTTCTTTTATACGGAAGGGGCCTATCCAGCGAGGTGAGAACTTTCGTGATTTATTCCCTTCGACGGTAATTTTTTTTTAAAGTCCTAAGCTTTAGCTCTAGGTCCACTATCGGTACAAGACTGGTGGAGCCGGTGGGGTTCTCTGCGTACAGGCCCAACTCATTCCAACCGCGGGAACCTCAACAAAAGTAGGTGAAGTTAACAACAAAACTTAAATCAAAACTAAAATCAAAGCGTAAATCAAAAAAAACCCCGAAAAAATAAAAAATAATAATTTAGAAGAATTTCATATGTGGTCCAGATCCCGCGCTTCTCGCCCGTTTCCTTTCCTGTCACATCTTCCAAGTGACTTTTCCTAATCTCCGCTGAGAGCGAAAGATGAGCTCTCAGGTAACTGTTGGTATCACAGGTATGTGATATCTGTTGCAACTTATTGGTTACTCTTGATATCTCGTGTTGTGCTTTTTTTTCTCTCTATCTGCTACACTACTTGGTATACTCTACATGGTCCGTGTGACTCTACAGTCACGTGCTTTTACATGTAAGCCGTTGCTGGAACTGCCAATAACCACCACGATCAGACACAGGCAGTCTTTTCTTTGTTGGTACCCATATCTATAGTTACGGTTGCGAATTGCCTTCTCAATCTTCGTCGCGCGTTATCCAGCCCTCTGTATGTATAGCAATTTCGTTAGCTGATACAAATGTAGCCAATGCCGTATTCGGAGATGCCTTGGTGAGCCCATATGCCATATTACACTTCCCATCAATCCATCGAACATCGTCAACTTCCCTTCTCTCGTACGACTGCCGTAGGCCCATTATATCGATCATCAGCCTTTTCTCCTCCGTCGTGCCTAGCTTGACAAGACACTCATATAATGAATATGAATCTGTGCAGACAACTATTGGAATGTGACCTAACCCATCCTTCCCACTCAAAATTAACTCTAGCGTGGACTTAATAGTATAAGCTATATCGAGCCCGGCAACCATAGCATAGATCTCGGATGCCAGTGTGCTCCGCACGACTCTCTTACTCTTTGTGGATGAGAAATGAACGATGTTGCCACGCAAAAGGAAATCTTTGTTAGTTGTCCCATTTATTGTTTCATTTCCATAAACAATAACAAGCCCTAGCTGCGAGGAGTAGTCAGCGTTATTTGCCAATGATCCATTGACGAAGACGAAAATCTTCGCAGTTTCCATCTTGAGTGGTACGTATACTAATCCATGGTCAGTATTTCTCATTTGCCATTGTAACCGTTTGTTAAGAGCGGTAATGTAGTACTTGCTAGGGTCTTGCTGCTTTTGGGCAGCCGCCGATAGGTCGAAGCAAGCTTCAGGCTGGCAGATAGAAGCTATATACGCCCCACGGGCTCTTTGCTCTACATATTGCTGCTTAGCATCCTTGGCTGTAGGGTCGACAGGAGTAATATTAGCAGCTTGGCCTTTCTGACTGAATACCAAATTTTCAGTCCGAGCCTCGAGGGATATCTTGCCATCGTTGAACGTAATTGGGTTATGAACATCGAGATACTGCTTTGGTTTGGCTTGTAGCGATGCGTTTTTCAAGGCTTAGTCCTCTTCGTTTGCAAACGCCGTTGTCGATAGACCTATTGTGTCGTCAGTTTGCATACCGATCACCGCGAGCTTTCCATGACGTGAAGTTGTCAACAAACATGGGTCAAAGGTTGAGATGACCATGGACAACTTGTCTTTGTGATGAGTACTATAGGTTGCCCACCAGTGGGTACCGGCTTCTGCAATCCCGTATAATGGTTTGACAACTTGAATAATTGTACCGTCGGGATGATATAGGCGGAGTTCTTTAGGCAAATACGCAAGTACCGTTCTTTGTAAAGGCATTGCTGACTGTGTGTAAGTCTGGGTCATATCGCGCAGCCAGGGGGTATATCCTTGCTGCAGAAGAGTCGGAGCCAGCGGAAAAAAAGTCTTTGACTTGCCCTTTGTATAGTGGGTGACTGCGTCAAAATTTTATCCTTTTCTTCTTCGGCAAATCCTTGTATTACCAATCGTGACTTTTCATAGGGACTTTCGCTATTTTTGTTCATAATTTCATTCACTATCCGCGAGCGGAAGATCCTTATACCTTTATGTAAGGTAGGTGAGAATTTAGCGAAAACAAAGACGCCACGAGCTATGAGGCCATCGATTTCTGCACGTATCGAAGCTTCAAAAGGCGCGCCAGATGTAGTAAAAACACCCTTGGCGCGTAGTTCTTGTGAAAGCAGTTAGTCGGCCTGTTCCCGTGTAGATATAAAAAGAGCGCATGGCTCGCCTTCTGGCCAGGCGTGATAATGATTTATCAGTTGCGGAACTTGAGGTTTTTTCAAGCGACTACTTCGTCTTACGAGTGAGGCAGCATAATCGTTCGGTTTAGAAGAGTCATTTTGGGCAGTATCTTCTGGGGAGACAATCTCTGAGCTAGCCTCTTGAGTCATGGGTAGCGGTGTGTCAGGTTGTAGGTTAAGAAAATGATTGGACGCTGTTGGTGGGTGTCAAACTCGAGGGTGCCAAAGGTAGCGTCGGAAGTGATACTGAGTGACTTGAGAAATACCTGAGGAAGTTGGCAAGAGTCAAAGGTATAAATTTGTGATTTTCACTAGAACTAAGGACGAGGGACGAGGGAATCTAGGATCGGAGACAAGGCCAGTGGAAGACGGAAGACAAGACGTGGCCCTCTACAGCGGCTCTGTCCAATCCAAATATACATCATAGTAACCAGAGCAACCTAGGTCTCATAGAGTCCACCTTCTACTACTCGATTACTCGATTCGTAACTCATGGCAACCATTATATCCCAGTAACCTCTATCCTCAGTTCCTGACAGTGGGTCTTCGCTGATCTCGTAGTATGGCTTTACTGCTGTCGATCGGAATTTTCGTGGGCCCTGAGGTAGTTGCAAGACACAACTCTCACCTTCTATCGACAACAGCCTGTATGGGCCCTGCCAACCTTGTTTTTCACGCCATACACGGACTTTCGATAGCAAGGGCAAGTTCAGTGTAGGTAGTGTATCTGGGTCGTTGCGCTGGTGGAGTGCTGCAGTAGTATTCTGGCAGGTATGCAGGCGTTGAATCTCCTGGGTATCTTTGAATAAAGCAGCCGCTTGACGACGTAGCTCAGGAGATGGAGGGCAGTCATTTGTTAGGCGTGGGTAGACACCGAAAACTAATAACGTGGGTGTTAAACCGTCTGGGCCGGCAGAGTCGTTAACAGCCTTAACAGCCATTTGAAGAGCCGTATCTCGTGGTGTTGATGGATCCTCTAACCGTATAATTCCATAGGCTCGACGTAGAATGGTGTGGTATCTTTCTACCTTTCCAAAGCTGTTATGGGCCTCGATCGGCTGCTCTCGGACCTCGGTTGCCATAAGCTTTGCAGACTGTCGAAATTCGTTGGACGAGAAATTTCGACCTGGGTCGTGGCTTATAAAATCGAGCGGGCCAAGATAAACGTCGATCCAGCACTATCGTAAGGTCTGCCAGGTATGGGCTGCCGATATATCTTTCAAAAATCGCGCAGCTTGGTAAGACGTCGCAGCGTCGACAGCATGAAGAACGGGTAAATTTGTCTCTAGATAAAAGACATCGACCATTATTTCATAGTTGAAGTGAATATCATCATTATGCAACTTAAATTTGAAGCGACCTGGTGCCTTTGCTTTCAGCTGACAATGCCGACAGAACTTGGCAATAGATTCGATCGAGCCCAATAGTGAGTCGCTACCATGGCCGACTTTCGTCAATATTTCATGTAGCCTACTAACTGACGGATGGCCAAATCGGCGATGTATCTGCCGTAACTCTGTATCCACTAACATTTGGCCGTGAACAACAGCTTTTTCAAGATCATGCAAGAAGAACCAAGGATGGCCCCATTTCCAGACCAGTGGGACCTTTACGCTATCAGATACGCTAAAAGGTAGCCATTATGAAGTGAGACGTCGATCTGTAGTCTCGCCATGTCTCGCGCACTTAATAGATAGGGCGTTTTCGTCGGTAATACATGAAACACTACTAGTCCAAAGGGTGTGTTTATAGCTGTCGTATCCAGCGGTTTTTGGGCAGCTGCATCGCCAAATCAGACAGTACTTTTATCTTGAGGTGGTACAAGGCTAATGGTAGGATCTATTTGACATAGTGCTTCGAATTGTGCTTCACCTGCTGTTGAAATTTCGGCTGCACCGCTATCAGGTATAATACCTTGAAATACATTTGCTGAATATCGATCTAGCAAAAAGCTAGTGGGCAACATAGGGTGAGGGCTGGGGCTGAAGTGTGGTAGCTGCGGTGTTGAACCCGTTACTGCATGCAGGGTCGAATATTAATTGAGGGCATCTGCGACCTTTTGCCCTAACAGTGCAGTCGACGACTGTATGGTTGTGAAAAAGCTTGAATGAAGATACGTCTCTGATGGTCTAGTGCCGCTTTCATCTTCATTTAATTCATCTTCATCACTTGAAGCATCATCGTCATAGATTTCAGCGTGGTAAAGAAAAGCCTCATACTGGGCCTTGGAGGGACGTCCACCTCCTTGCCTCTTGACGTGACGATTGGCATACTTTTTGAAAGCTTCCTCTCGCTCACTATCAGTATGATTATAAGAGATCCATCCAAGCTTTTTGCACACGTAGCACCTAGTCCGGCGTTGCTTATCCTTATTATACCCACTACGGTAAGGCTTATTACCATTATATTTGCGGTCTGTCCAAAACGTTTTGTTGACATTGTCATTTGGTGTACCAGGTATGGAGGATCTTTGTTGAAGGTGGGTAGTTGCCGGGTTATTAATGTGCGTAGAGAAGAGTGTATTGGTAGAATCTAGTAGTTGAATTGATGACCGGATATTGTTTGTCATCTCACGGAAATTCGACGCATCTTTTAATATGGCATGGTGAATATCCGGATAGCTCTTGCAGGCAACTTGCATCTTAAGTCGTAGATGACTATCAGTCTGCATATCAGAAGGCAGTAGCTTTTTGATCTTGAGAAGGTTTTGTAGCATAATATCGAAGTAGTTAGCCTTCGACTTATCCGGATGCTGTTGTAAAGTGAGTTGTATACTAACACTTTCCCACTTTTGCAGATACTGCTGTCGACTACTCTCTGTTTGAAAATACTCCCTCATTAACAGTACTATTTTATCAATTTCAGTGAACTAGCACACTTCGGTACTGAAAAATGTTAGGGCTTCGCCTTTCAGCATGTGGTGGAATAGTTGGCCACGGGCACGGTATGAGACATCGTTGATGTCGAAATTGCGGTGAAAAATAAAAAGGGCATCATCGATAGCCTCATAATTATCACCACCATATTTTGACCCGCTGCTGGAAAAGCATTGTGAAATCGACAAATTTTGCCGAGGCGTGGGCAAATTACTGGATCGGTCAAATGTGGTAGGATTATATGGAAGCTCATCATCAAAATTATTTTTCCTTTCCTCCTTTTTAGGTGGGCTTTTCGGGTAGGGGATGCTTCTTCAGAAGTTCTTGAACATGTCGCTCTTTCATTTCCTCATAATGTCTCTTGGCTGCTCCCATAGCCTCTTCAGCTGTAGGTCCTGGATCGGTGAGATCAGCATATAAATCAGGAACATTCCTGAGTCTTTGACGGAACTTCTTTCTGGCCCGTTGAACAGCTTCGACTTTCTCCGGGGTCCAAAAGTGGGAGGCACCGACCTTGCCGCTCTCGATAGTATTGCTTAAGTGCTTAGCCATTGAATGGCCCGGGGTCGTAGAGACAAATACCCCTCTGTCCTGTATACAGTCGCGGAGGGTTGTAAGGACTTCCTTGCTGGCGTTAGCAAAAGCCGTGTCTGTCCAGGCATAGAAGTGATCATAGAAATGCTCCCACAGCTCGCTTCTAAGCCAATCATTCTCTTCATATTCGCAGACACATTATAGGATATGAGTATCAGCGATTTTTGAATCAAACTTCGAAGGGCTTAGCTCGTAATCAACTGTCTTGCCTCATATCATAGGATCTATCTTCGCGGTATGTTTGATTGCGATATCTGCCTGTCGGAAGGCTTTTTCGAGCCATGTAGGCGTAGGCTGGGAGCTGCTGCTGGCATCGGTCATTTTGTTCGTTTCGGCTTTTTATCTACAGATGTGGATGATAAAGAAATGATTCTGTAGATCAATTTGTTTGTAGATTGCTGTTTGACCGGATATCAACGTTATTTGTAATAGTTAAATGGATGTAAAAGTGTAAAGTGAGCACGTCAACTTTGCTGCAGCTTAATACTAGCCTACAGGTTCAGTTCTTCCGCTTTTTACCTTGCTTCTCTGTGATTAAATAGCTGCTCGCTAGTAAGCTAAATTAACCACTGATAAGTGTTGGTATCATAGGTATGTGATATCTGTTGCAACTTATTGGTTACTCTTGATATCTCGTGATGTGCTCTATTTCTTCTCTATCTGCTACACTACTTGGTATACTCTGCATGATCCGTTTGACTCGACAGTCACGTGCTTTTACATGAAGCCGTCGCTGGAACTGCCAATAACCACCACGTTCAGACAGTAACCTTTGCTGTCGGCTGGTTTCCTGCTTTTTGGTGTGAAAGTTGTCTTAGACTTCACCAAGGACTGCCGAGCCCTCAAACTTCTTCTTCGGTTTCCAGAATTCCGAAACCCGATCCCTCCGCCATGGAGACGTCCTTCGCAGAGGCGTTCCTCGCCTCTTCGCCCTTTTTGTATGCAGCTTTGACACGGGCAAAGTCCGCATATCTTTCTTGCTCGACTTTGCGAATTGCTGCGAGCTGTTCCTTGGTCACCGGTCCATCATTTCTGGGTCTGGCTTGGCAGTGCCGAGAGTCCGATCGGTGAGGTCCCCCACAATTGCGACATCGTGTGAGGGCCTTGCACTTCGCTTCCGAGTGCATGTTTATGCCGCAGTTCCAGCAAGCCGGAGCGCGGGAGCATCTGCGGCTGGCGTGGTAGCCAAGACAACGTTTGCACTATTCGAGTTGGGGACTAGGTCGGAAGAGCTTCGCAGCTCCAGAATCGTCGAAGAGGCGGAATCCAGGTCGGGGCGTGGACTTGCGAGGAAAGAGGGCTTGCCAGTTCTCGTATGGCGCCCCAGGCTTGCAGTGCCCGTGTGGACGGACAAGAAACGGAACCGATTTCGTCACTCGCGTGACTTTGTCAGCAACCATCTTTGCCGTGATCTCGATGGGACCTGCAAGTATGTTTATTGTCACCGGTACGGTGGCAATTTGCAAGGCAACCAGATTTGACGCTGGTTCCAGTTTGATTCTAGATTCGCTCCGTGACATGGAGGAATCTATGAGCTCTTTCCGAGCGAGTTCATTCTTTGCTGTCAGTGCAAAGCCTGTTTTGACCCGCTGAACCAACGTAATGTCGTCGGCAGCGGTACCAAGCACCTGTGACACAGCTAATCTTACGCCAGCTGGTGACAGGAGTCGGTGGGGTTGGAGAACTTTGAGGCGTAGAAAAAGTCTCGCGGCGACTTTTGTCCTCGGATTGGCACTTTTTGCTTTTGGGGCGGGCGGTGCTGCCTTTGTAGTCGACGGCCCGGCGCTGCGGCCTAGACCTGCACGGGCTACTATGGCCCAAGTCGTCTTTGGTGCCGGAGCCTGGGTTGTCGAAGGGTTAGGTACCCTAATTTCATGAGCCCTCGGCGGAGGAAGGTTGATGGGGCGCGCAGGGAGAGCTGGTGGAGTTGAGGATCCATGATCATAAATATTATATTATAATTTTTCACGTGCACCCCAGTTTTTATGCATAATGCACACTAAGCTGGAAACCTGTATATACTAGACACATCCTGTAAATTTAGAGGGGGAGTCACACACCGTCTTAAGATTTCACTATATAGGAGATATAGTAGAAATCCCGAGACATCGTGACCTACGATTTCCGTATATTCACATTTTATCAATCTAGCATCCTAGGAACTTAAAACCTCAGAGTGCTCCCTGGGTGTTGTGCTGGTGACGACTAGGATTACGATGCACAAGGGTAATGATCACTGAGGGTGAAGGAAGAACTTTCCAGGTGGCTCCATGATGAGTGGAGGAACAATGGAGCACTGTATAGAAAGTGTTTTTAGATTGTACTGCCAGATGGAGGAGACTAGAATTTTCCGTGGTACTATTTTGGGTAAATAAGGCGAGAGTCTGGCTACTTCAGATGTGTATGTAATTAGCGCTTTCTACCTCCTAAATCCTCATAGTTCTGAATATCAAATATATCAGCAGCTCACATTGATTCATCGATAATCATCCGTAAACCTTCTGCCAATTAACCTCCGTAAGCTCTTACCTTTACAACACTGGGCCTGATTGTATGAACTGGCTTATGGCCGCTCGAAGGTAGACTTTGATGCCGTCTACAAACTCTTTTTCGTCGCCAATCGAGAGTGGCGAAAGTGCTGCTTCAACACTGCTTATTGCAGTGGAACAGATTGATAAACGGGCCTTGATTTGCGTCGTGCGATGCTTCTCGGCCTCCATCACTGATTGCAGCTCCGGAGGATATTCCGGTGCTGATGTCGAAGCTGCGCCTTTTGAGGCTGGCACAGCATTTTTTTCCGGCAGGCAATTCTGCACGTTCAGTCGTCTTTTCTTTGACGACCTCCTTTCCTTTCGTGGAACTACTTGTCTCGAGGGCCAGCTCGGCGGGTTTCGCGGTCTGTTGACCATTTGTTTCTGTTCTGATCGGGTCAGAATCAGTCATCTCCTGATCGGGAAGTGTGGAAGACTTCCCAGGGATAAAGGCCTCACTCGCAAATAGGCTTGATAATTTTTGCGCGAGGTCAAGTGTTTTTGCAGGAGCCCTCGGGCGGACTCTCGCGTTGTCCAACATTGAGTTGGTGAGCTTTTTTCGAACAGGTGGCATGATGAAAATGCCAGTGACTCGATTACAATTTATTGAAGGAATGCGACGAGCGCTAGTGGGAGGGAGAGGGGGAAAAGGTGGATATTCGAAAATTCGAATTTCAAAAAATTGTGTGGGTGTGTGTTTATTGTGCTACTTGAGTTTATGACTATCTCGCACATTGGGCTCCTCTCTGACCCAGGCCACACCTTGTACAGTGCTCCTATCCTCTTTTGTTACTTGAAAGATCATTGATATATTCCCCTTGATCAATAGCCATTTAGCTCAGTGGTTACCCGTGGAGTTCGGCCTCCTTTTCCACCGAACCTTCTACCAAAAACAATCAAAATGGTAACAATGGAAACTGCGTGCACGGGAAAAAGTCTCAAAAAACCTGCAGTCCCAGCCAGGCGAGGCCTAGACACCAGGACCACATGAGGTGCGCATATTCATGAATATCTCCCTTCTTTGTAACAGTCGAGGCCGACTTGATCCAATCCGCCATCTCCGTATCGGGTGCTGGGTACGCTTCGGAAACTCATCGGATGGCATCTCCTCCATAATCAAGGGTTGATGATGAGTAGGGCTCTGACCCTACCATCTAATCGCGAAAGCGATTGGGAATCCTCGTCGAAGTGAGGACTTTGTTATTCAATCTCGGCTCTGCAGACTCTACAGTGAGAGCTGGAGGTTCGTAGGGGATACCACTGACAGGTG